GAGAGAGAGAGAGAGAGAGAGAGAGAAACGAGATGTAAAATGCGAAAATAGAAAACAGGACGAGGAAAAAAAAAAAAAGAAATGAAGGTAGGCAGGAAAACAAGGAAATGAACGAACGAATCTCTTTTATATTCGTTCGAATTAAACTAGNCCCCCCCCCCCCTTCTCCCCGCTCCCCCATTATTCGTCACAACGCTAATGAAATACAATGCTACCGCAGCGTGAAGCTGATAGACAGGGAAGATTCGGCGATAAAAATTTTTTCTTTTTCCACCCTGTTTCTTTTTCCTCTTTTTCCTTTCTTTTTCCCCCGTCCTCCGCGTTCGTTTCGCTCGCGATCGAGTTATCCTCGCGTATCCTCGCCGTCGTCCGGCAAATACGCGAAGGGGGGAGAGGGAGGGGGAGGCGATGCCACGACCGAACTTTCGACACCCGAAGACGCGCGCCGGTTATATAGGCGCGTCGGTAGTTCTTGGCAAGGGGCTTGCGTTTGATCTTCGAGCCGGTTCGTCGGCTCTATTGTGAATTGTATCTGCTTCCTTTACGCCCGATTCCATCCCACCCCTTCCCCCCTCCCCGCGTCCCCCAACCCCCGTCACGCGTTACCGTCGCGCGCGCGGCACTGAATCTCCTCTCTTTTGCAGATTTAATGTTGCCTATTGTAGAATCTCGCCTCGCATGCCTTCCTTTCCTGTCCCTTTCCCTCCTCCTCCTCCTCCTCCTCCTCGCTCCTTCTTTATTCATCCAACCTCTCCCCTCCCCCCTTTCGATCCGTGATATAACAATTACACCCACGAGTTATCAGCTCCTATCCTCTCCAATCCCCTCCATCTCGATCGGATCAAAGGAACACCTTCTCCTCTCCGCTCCGCTTTCTTCTTCTTTTTTTTTTTTTTATTCGATCGTTTCGCGAGAAACGAAAACTATCGACGAGAGAACAAGAGAATTGGTGGAAACTGTCCGTTTCACGGTTTCGTTTCGTTTTTTCTTCATCGATTTTTGTTCGTATATCGATGATGACGAAGTCGGTTAATCGGCGTGGCCGGATTCCTTTTGATTTTGCGAGAAATTTTAATTCGTTTCTACTTCAAGCTCGGAATATGTCGAAGCTTCTTCATTCTTTAAGGTATGTCTGTTAATGTAATCTAAAGAAACGATATAAGTTGTGAATAATTTCTGCTTGTTAGATATATGTATAAGTGAATGCGATTTATTCATTAAAGGCAAAGATTATCTATATGTTAGATAGGAGGAGAGTTTTCAAAGATAGTTCTAGGTTGAAAATAGATTCAAGGGTAAAGGATAATTAGTTTCGTGGAAATTTATCTGATTGTCAATCTCTTGTTAATTAGATGACAGTGTTCGCATAACGTCATTTCATCGGGGCATTCATCGGTTATTATGTTACCGATCGTGGATCTGCTTGTTGAAAATTTATTGAAAAATTGTTCGCTCATCACTTTTTCGATATCTCATTCGATATCGTGGCCCTCTCTATTTAATTTTTTACAATTCCATATATGAGCATTGCAAACAAATAAAAAACAAAAGCGGTGTCGGTCGAAATGAATTCGGAAAAAAATTCTGCTTGTTTTTACCTATAGTTTTTACCCGGACCCTTTTGTACGATAATTTATTAACTAATAATATCAATAAATTGACAATTCAACATGTCATACATGTTTTTAAATTTTATAATTTAACGTCAATATGGAATAATTAAATGATTTGCAGTTTCTAATATTTACTCAGAAAATTTTATTTGTTCCGTTAACAAATTTGTTATTGCGAATAATTTGCAAAATATCTCGTTATTTGTAAATTTATTTGCAAATTGTCATTATATAAATGTACAATAGTATCGCTTTAATAAATAATTAAAATAATTAAAAACTTGGCACAAAGTTAGTAAGTTAACAAGCGAATTCGTAAAATAATTTGCGAAATAATTAATAATTTATTAAATCAGAAAATGAATAACTCGATAATCTTGCTAAATGTTAAGATTATCGAATTATGTTCGAAATCGGAATCTCTAATTACCTTCCTAATTTCTTTCTACACATCTGGAATCATCAACGATTACGGTAAGAAGAGTTAAACATCTGTATGGAATTAACCGTTCAAGTATCTACTTGCGGAGGATCATCCTTTCACATCGTTTCTTGGATACGAGCGAGGACACTTTGACACATTGTCGTTCTATTATATCCTTCCTCCTCAACTTTGAACAAATACTTCACTCGATTAAAATATATACGATATCTATTCGTCTGTCCATTACATCGAGTATAATAATCATTTCGCAAAATATCGTTTCATAAAAAAATCATCGTTCTCTGATCGATTTTTAACCCGCGCGATACATTTTACGCGCGCAAGATCAATTTTCTATTTTTTTTTTTTTTTTTTTTTTTTTTTTTTTTTTTTTTTTAATATAGCGTTCATATGCATCGTCCATCCCCTCCCTCCCTGCACCGAATAATCTGCTTTCGTATGTATGTAAAACCATGACGTCGTTTCTCGTCGACAAAGCGTTCTGTTTCCAAAATCATTCGTGTAAGAGATATTTTTTTTTTTCCCCGGCGATACGGTACCGCGATATTCCCAAAAATCTGGTTTGTAGCGTGACGAAACGCGGAGCCAGTGACCCAGGCCCAACCCCCTTTTCCTGTCCCCTCTGCCACGGTTTATTTGCATTATAAAGTCCACTATACAAAAGGGGAGGGATGGGACACGACACACTGTACACCCACACCTTTACGTGATTGACGGAAGATACTCCGTTTGGTTAAATAAATCCCGGAAATTTAATATTCGATCGACGAACAGGCTTGTAACGATCAAATTTTTCCCGATTATACGTATGAAATTTAACCGTTTAATTGCGCGACTTTGTTAAACGTACAAGCCTGTTAAATTCGTTTAAACGGTTGCGTCGTTCACGTTGGCGTATTTTGTAAAATTACACGCAAACGCGCCGGAGACAAACATTAAATTAAGAGGAACGAACTATTTCGCTCTTGGGCGTGAAAGATATCCGAATAATCGATGTTTAAACTCGTTTATTGGCCGATAACGATTTACGACCGCCATCTTTATCGCGTTACCTTCTAACGCGATCTAACGTTACGTTTTCGAACAATGTACAAAATTATTAAAATTCCTTAAAATCAAATAATTATTGTCGAATATAGAATTATTATTAAAATGGTCAAATTGATTTCGAATTTTTTGTTTTTTTAAGAATTATTAAAAACGCGTGGATATCTAATTATTTAAAAAAAAAATATCCACATTGTGAATTGTAAAAAATATTATTCCATGTAATTTACGTTTAATCGGGAAACAATAGGCCGTCGCAATGGCCGAAATGACACGAAGCAGCGATTTTCGAAGGAACGGTTTGAAATTTTTGACAAAGATGCTTTGGATTAACAATGAGGGTCAGATTATTTCCGAAGGAGAAGAAGGAATGAAGTGTTGCAGAATGACACAGGAGCGTTTAAGATTTTGGGACCACAATTTTGTCTTTGTCCTTAACCGCATCTTAGAGATTAGACTACTGATTTCAAAACCAGGCCTCGCGTTGAGAAAGGCGTTGTCTTAGAATAAGTAAGGATAATCGTAAGTAAATTTTCGAAAAGTTTTTGAATGGACCGATCGACGACCTCGTTTCTCACAAATATATTCCGTGCCGCAGGATTTCAGTATTTGCCAGGTTTTACCTGAGGCTTCCGTTAGGTTCCGTTTAATTAGTCATAGGCAACCAGGTGTACGTTTTAAAAGATAAGCGAGTTGCCATGTGATAAAGATTTATGATAAAAATTTCAATTTCGAAAAATCGAATGACTAATATGAATAATTACGATGGAATAATAGTATAATGATATATCGTGCGAATTTTTTTTTTTTTTTTAGAAAGAAGGAGGAAGAAAAAGAGAGAAAGAGAGAGAGAGAGAAAGGAAAAAAGAAAAATCTCGAACGGTATGTTCTTGGTCAGATAAAATTATGAGAAGAAGAAAAAGAAGAAGAAGAAGAAGAAGAAGAAGAAAAGAAGAAGAGAAAAAAGAAGAGAAAGAAGAAGAAGAAGAAGAAAAGAAGAAGAGAAAGAAGAAGAGAAAGAAGAAGAAGAAGAAGAGGGAGGAAATTAATCGCGATCCAGAAGAATTGGCGTACATCTGAAGACGCGGTAAATAATCTCACATTTCGACGAGAGAAGAAGAAGAAACATCGCGTCGATGGATCGAATACGAATTGGTGGGAGCGAGAAAGATAGGGTAGGAAAGAGAGACAAAGGGACGGAAATACGGGACGAGGGCAGAAGGAACGAAGATGGGGATAGAGAGAAAGAGGATCGGATAGAAGAAGGAAGAACTCTGAGAAGTAGGAGGGGGTAGGAGAGGAGGTGGAAAAAAATCCGGGGATTTACGCGGAAAGGGCAAAATATTCCCCGCCCAGGTCTCATTCAACCCCCGAGTACGGGGTGGCTTTGGGTGAGAAGCGTGCGCCCTCATTGGCGGGGAGGCTAATATGGCGGTGTTAGGGGTTGCGAGGTGGGGCGGCTGTATGCGATATTAAGGGCTGCTTTCATGTCCGACGAGCCAGTTCGTGGTGCGCCGTCGATTGACGCATTTTCTTTTCGAAGTGAGAGAGTCACGCGTGGAACATCGACGCTCCGTCGTTCTCCTTCTCTTTTTTCCCTTTCTCCGTCTCATTATCCTTCGATTCGCGCTTCCGTTCATTCAGTTTTTCCTCACGCGTGTAATCAAATTATTTCGATATTCTACATACGTGTACATAACGTGTACGTTTATTTTCTTTTGCTCGCGCCAAAAGGACGTTCTTCCACGAAGCTCCATCTGTCCGCGGAAGGGACAGCGGGAAATACGATTTTCTCCATTCTCCGGGATATCCTAGACGGGAGAGTACCTCTCTTTTCAGTGAATTCTCGTGAATAAAACACCGTTTCCGATTATCTTTCGACGAAAGTTGCACACAAGTGATCTCACCTTCGTTAAATATGGCACAAACGTATAATCAAAAGAGGAACGTGTACAGCATCGACCAGATATTGGGACACGGGAAGGATGAAGGTAAGGCTGTTCTGTATTTCTCGCGTTCGTGTTATTTATATTTTTTATTTTTATTTTCATTTTTATTTCTATTTTTTATTTTTCTTCAATAATCGCGTGAAAGATCGCGTCGAATATCGTTTTCATTAAGTAATTAGAATTCGATTAATCGGATACGAGTAAGCGTCGCTATTTTTCCCGACTCGTTTAACGTAATTTTAATATACTTAAGAGGTAATTACCATTTTTAAAATGTCTGTGACATTCAGAAGCGTTCGTGGCTTGCTAGTTTCTATTTACTCGCCGCAAAATAGCCGCGCGCCGTGCCGCCAATAAACTCGGCGAGCAATATTGCATTATTATCTAATATCTAATATCGTTAAGTAAACTAAGGTCTCATTTACCAACATTTTATTGCTGTCGCATCGATCGGGCCGCGATTGCGATAAAAAATATAATTTTCCTTCTAACTAAAACAAAGTGGGTTATCTATCTTAACCCATCGAGACCACCGCATCAGATAGACCTTCGTAATTGTGTGGCAATTTAGCAAATGGAGTTCTACCGATTTTTAAAATCGTTAACATCGATCGGCCATCGATCGATCTGTTCCTTCCCATCCCTTCCCCTTACCCCGCTCACGCTTCATCGCTTCGCGCGTATGAAAACGCGAAAACAACGGCCACGTTAAAAATCACATTTTTTTCTAAGCTCCCGATTCGTTACGCGCGCATTACGTTAATTATCGTGAGCGTAAAAAAGGCTAATTAGGTCGAGGTTCGAATCTGTACCGACGATCAACGGTACGATGTAAATTTACGACGTGGCTTACGGCACGCGAGCTACTCACTCCGTGCGCCGCATGCGAACACTTGTTTGCGAGCTTATTTTCCACGCGAGTCGTACAAACGCACGAACACGCAATTATTTCATTAAAATATATGCAACAATGGATTTCTCAAGAAAACCATGATTACGCGTAATATCGCTAATTCCGCGCCACGTGCCGCTGTTTCGCGATAAATTATGGCGTTTCTATATACGAGATCCCCTTCCCCCTTCCCCCTTCTCCCCCTCCCTCCCTCCCACTTACTCACGCTTTTGCAATTGCACGACATCAAAAGACGGTTTAAAGTGCGACGTTAACGATTAACACGTTACAAAGAAGAAACGGCATTTTCCTTCCTTCAATTACAAGAATACGAAACGATTACGATACGAATATCTTTCTGTTTCTGTTTCTTTCTTTCTTTCTTTCTTTCTTTTTTTTTTTTTGATCAGTAGCCACGTGAATCGTGGTAAAAAAAGAAAAAAAAAATAGCCGCTGTTTCAGATACCTCGATATTCAGATACTTCATACTTTGATACGCCATAAAAGATTAATCAACCCGCGTAAAGCTACACTTATTAAATTTCCACCAAGATACGCCAGTTTTTTGCTCCGTAAAGGATTATCCGGACCAGTTTAGCGGTGAACGTATTACCCGTAAACCCTCTTAAGGATTTTATTAGATTTTCAACGTAAAGCCGGACCTTGTGTAATCCGTTCCACCGATATATATCTTGTCCAGGAAGAACTCGTTGTACCGTGTAGCGAATACAGCGGAAACAAAGGAAACTTTACCAAGGCATTTATAAATACGATTCTTCGTTTCGTTTCCTCACCTATCTCACCTTGTTAATTAACACCGTTACCACTACTTCGATCGAATTTTCATACGTAGCTCGACGAATTTGGTTTCTTGCTTATGCGAGTTCCGTGGTACACGGAATGGATACACAAGTAGGCATACACACATACACACACATATAGTCGGATGATCACTGTATACAGGTGGACCGATTATTGGCCCGTCCCGATTGTGGCGTGCAGAAATCAGGATGTGTTTGCGGATTTCGATCGTACAATCGTCTAACATAATTAATGCGTCTGACGATAGCCGTGCATCGAGTGTCCATTGATACGGTTTCCCGGGTTTCGCTTACAGATAGACACATTCGATTCGTCGTCGATCGCCAGTGTCTAGAGAAATCATCGAACGAATGGATATCAATCGAGATATTTTTGTTTCTTCAAATTGTGCTCGTTCGTATGAACTTTTCTTTTCTTCGCGATCCGCGCCATCTTCTTCTTTCTTCCCTTCTCTAAGTTAAGCCTGTTAAATCATTTTTTCGTCGAGAAGATTCGCCAAGAATTTATACGTGTTAAGACATTCTTTAATCGTACAAAATATCCACCGTCTGTTAATTAACGTCTGTTAACGATCGATTCGATCTCCTTCGATTTTCAAACGCAAGGCAATAAATAATATGGATGATAAATGTTCCAAGATTTTTCACGATTAATCGCTGTAATCATCATCGATAGGGTCAACACTCTTACATCACACAAAGAGAAAGGAAAAATTTCCAAATAAAAAATCAAAAATGCGCCATACCGCCAGGAGAGTTTAAAAAAATAATTTCAATCAAAGAAGAGAAATTAGCGTCTCGTGTCGTTCGGGCAAGCAAGCTTCGAGACATGTGGTCATCGGGCACGGTAAATAAATCTTTAATTTCGCGCCGCGAATTGCCTTTCCGGGCCACCCTCCCCGGCGCAACCCCTATCGGTGGGTCGTAGATTTAATAAAAAGCAGCGGAGAGTTAGGCATCAAGTGGGTGCCCCATTGTGCCCTAGCATGAAAACATAAAAATCTCTCTATTCATCGCGGATTATCCGTACGTTGTTTGCGTAAATGTTAGTGCGATTACGTGCACACACGTACACGCACGTATCCCGTCTTTCTCTTACTCCGTCTATGAACGCAGCCGGCATGCGTGCCAATTCTAATGATTCGCTTCATTCGCAATTTATCACAACTGCCGGTTAAAGCGGCACCGAAAAGTAGGATTAACGTTATTACGCACGAGTAGTGGATGCGTGTCTAATTAGTTCAAGCAAACGTGTGTAAGAGGATGATGGGGAATCGTGCGCGGGATACGAGAGAACCGATATTGAAACTTCCGTCGAAGTCGGCATCGTGGCCGATATAGATCCCTGTTGGCGAGATCAAAAGCGTCCCCAAAACTAATTAGACGATAATGTGAGATTAATCAAATTAGACGAGTAGTTCCTATCGAATGAACGATACGACATATCAAAATATTACTCACAGCGGAGCGGAAGATAGATTTTAGATTCGACGATGTACGAGCGAATTTGTGAAATTTTCACTCGATAAATTCCTTCTTCCCCTTCGTCGAAAAGATCTCACGATTTTAGACGAGCGATGAGAGTCCACGTGTAAAGAGTCGATTACGAGATACGTAATTTCCTTCGATCGCATTCCTTCGCATCTTATCGGTAATCCCTCCTTTCTCGCGAGTCGACCAATAGTATTATCAACACGTGCTTCTAAACCGTATTTATAAGAATCGTTTCGAAGTTGCAGATTAAAAAAAAAAAAAAAGAAAAAAGAACACTGCACTGTATTTTGCACGCGCAGTTTACTCTAATGAGCCGTTTAAACTCGGCCCGATGTCGATATTCATATAGGAAATACGAGACGAAGCGGATACAAAGAAAAATAGAAAGAGGGAGCGTTAAAAAAAAAGGGGGGGGAAGGAGGGGAGGGGGGTTCAATAAAAGAGGCAATAAAAGTTGGCGGGAGAAAGAAGGAAGGGTTGGAGAAACGAGAGCGTGTGCAAGGTTGGCTAGGTGCAAGGGTAGGTTGCATCGTGACATACACACACACACATACACACACAAGGGGAAGGGAGAGGTGGAGGCACACGGTGTACGTACATGCACTCGTGATATTTGCTAATCACTGACTGGCAACGGTTTTTAAGTACTATTGACCGTATGTACGTATAATGTATAGACTCGCATCGATGCGTTATATTTCGTATATAGGCGGATGTACAAAAAAATGAAGCGCCGGGTGAGGCTTAAAATTGGCAAATCCGCCGATCGGACATGATCGCCGTATATCGGGCGTATATCGGCGCCAGTCGTTGCACGGCTTAAAAATGAAATTGCACCCACACCGACCCCGCAGCATCTCCAACCCTTCCGCCCCGCACGCCCCCCCCCCTCCCGCCCCGGCTTTCCTCGCTGCTCCTCGCCCTCCCTCTGCCCCCTCTGCCTCCCCTGTATATATCAGCGGGACGTCAATTTCGTTTTGGCAGCGCGGACGATTTAGCTTAATCGCCCCGATCCTCTCTTTCGTTCAAGTATCGAAGGTCCACGCGATCGTTTGATACGCGTATTCTATTCGAGCTTCGATACGCGTCCCCAGCCTTTTAACACCATCCGTTCCGTTCCTGTTTTCCGCCGTCCTACGCGTTCTACGTGCGTCGGCGATACATCGAGGACGGTACATAGATATCGGTAACGGTACATCGTTAACAATCGTCGTTTCGTATGCCGTCTCGATCGACGCCTTCTTTACTCTTCCTATTCGATTTTCGAACTCGATCTCTCGAAGGGGAAAATGGTTGGTAAACGATTTTTGATAATGGTAAACGGATGGTGACGAATGGAAATGGTTGATGGAAGAGGGAAGGGGGAAGAAAAACACTCGAATCGATTCGAATTCGAGATCGAGGTGAATTACACTTCTTTGTTGTTCTCAGATCACGCGACGTCGTCCGATGCGATCGGTGATGCCGGGGACACGGAACTCGGCCACCTGAGCGACCATCAAATGAACGATTCCCTTCACGATCCTTTGAACCTGGGCGAGTCGGATCGATTGAATCTGGGAGAATCGGATCGGCCGCGCAAGGTTCGAAGATCCCGTACCACGTTCACCACGTACCAGCTGCACGAGCTCGAGAAGGCGTTCGGGAACACTCAGTATCCAGATGTGTTCACCAGGGAAGAGCTCGCGATGCGATTGGATTTGTCCGAGGCTAGGGTGCAGGTGAGTTCAATTAACCGATTGAAACGCATCGATACTTTTTCTTTCTTCGTTTAACGCTTAAGGATTTTTCTGAGATTATTATCGTTGATACGATGAATTTTATCGAGCATACGGGCAAAGAAAAATGTAAAAATGTTCAAGAAAATGAGACATCGTTACGTTTGATATACGTATTCGTGTGATCTAAAGAAATTGAAACGAAATATTCGAAATACGTATATAATTGTAAGATTATATTTATAACATTCGTCGTTGTAATTAAATACTTACGACGTTCCTTTCGAATAAATACCGCAATAAATTCGATATTTCCGTGCTGAGAATCTAGAACGAGATACGCGTATCGTTATCGTATCTTTTTAAATGTATTAACTAAAATACGATCGATTGTGAACACGATTGAAATCGTTTTCGTAAAGATGAACGAGATGCGGCGCGAGATTTTCAAGCGATGATATTCAAAGCGTAGAAAACCGTTGCCGAACGAGGCGCAACCTCAGCGTGGGCCTCTCAACTAATTACACACTATTGTACTGAAAATCTACCGCTCCTCTTCGACGTCTGTAATTTCGCGAAAGACGCGCCAGACCATACTCGTGCTACGGGGATTAATTTCATACGAGCCAGTCGAACGGTAAAGAGCGTACGGGGTCGTAATCTGCTTTGAAATTATTTTCCAGCCTCGCCTTTTAATGGTCGTGAGAGAGCATCAGCTGTATATATATTTTGACGTCAGTGAAGAGAGACAAAAAAAAAAAACCAAAAAAGAAAAATCACGAAGAGACGAAAAAAAAAGAAAAGTATTATAATTATAATCAGTTAATAGGGGAAATAGAAAAGGAAAGGGATGCATAATTTGCGAAATTGTAATTTTCGAACCGATAAACCGTTTGATCAGCTCTAAAGTTCAAAGGAAAACGCATCTCGACACGATATTTTAACGCGTTTCTTTATGGCTCGAACATTTCCCGTTAGGTCGATTAAACTTCGATTTAAAAAACGGTACGGGAAACGAAGTAGTCGATGTCGACGCATATTCGTTCATTTTTTTTTTTTCATCCCTTACGAATGCACTTTATCTTCCAAAAAAAAGAAAATTCTCCCGGTGGAAATGTTCTCACTCCTTTGATTCTATTATCGACCATCGATGAATATCAGCCTCGGGCTCCACCCCTCCATCCGAATTATCGCGTTGTTAATCATCCACGAAACGTAATACGGATTACGTGACGTGGAATCGGCACAACGACGACGACGACGACGACGACGACGACGGCGACGATGTCGAGGGTGTGAACCGCGGGGGTATTGGCCGCGCGCTCCCATAAATTATGACTTTTCCATGGATGGAAATCGGTTACTCGATTAGCGTAGGTAACCATCGTGTGACACCCTCGTGTGTGCGCGTGACGAGGAAACGAAGAACGGAACCGGCTGGATAGGGTAAATCGGAGCGAGACGGAAGAAGGGTTGATCGCGAAAGAGGGAGGAAGAGCAAGAAAGAGATGTATGTATATATATATATATGTATCTATATGTATCGATATATATATATATATATATAGATATACGAACATGTGTGCGAGTGTGTATGTAGAGTATAGAGAGAAGGGTCGCATGGATGGAGCCGGCGTCGAAGGGTGGCGTGGAGTTGAAAAGAGACAGAGAGCATTCCGATTGGCCCATTGTGGTACAGCCAAGCGACAATGCCGGCAATTGGCCGTCGCTCGACAAAACCGCTAAATGATCCGCCGCGGCGCAGTGGTGCCACGGCCACTTTATTTCAATCTAGGAAATCCTCCGCTACTCCTCCTCCCACGCCGCCCTCAATTCCAGATGCGAAATTACCCATTTTTCGGTATTAATGGCCGGCCGATGTATCGCGTTCGATCGTCGATCGGACCCGATGGTAATGGAATCGCGAATCGTTTCTGCCCCGTTTCCCATTTCCAGCGTAACAGACTTGTCGCGTCTGGCTTATATCTCGCTTTCGCTTTTTCGTCACGACGTTTGTTGTACATCGATTCTTATTCTCGCTTTTTATATCGCGTCGATCGAGAAAGAAAAGACGTTTCCATCGTTCGAAAATGATATTTTTTTTTTTTTTTTTACGTACATACGCTCGTACATACGTATTATTTTATCGGGGTAGATGGAAATCGTGGAATTCAAGATGGAAAAATGTTATGTGCTCGGTGCTTTCAACAAGTAAGAGAGAGCGTCGACAGGAAATTTGCGGTGGAGACGGTGGTGGAAACGTTACACCGAGATTGCACGGACCGAGACAGGGGGATTCAAACTTTCGGGTTCACGTTGGGTCGGTTAAACGACGCGCTGCAAGGTTTGCGAGCACTTAGGCGTTAGCGGGGTATTCAGGAGCGATTAAATAATTAACAGCAATTAGGCAATTGAATTTCCTGCCCCGGTCTCGCGACGTCCTCCTCTTTCCATTCCTCCTCCGTGCTCCTCCTCCGTTCAACCGAACGTTCCAAGTCATTTTCCCAACTTTTACAATCTCGACCAAGATATTCCTAATTTCTCTTTAAAAATATTTCGACCAAACCTCGTTACACTCGTCAATTACGATCTCTCTATTCTTTCTCCTCCGCCCTTCGCTTCGATAATAATTATTTATTACACAATATATAATACTGGTTCGTTCATTCTCGTTGACTGAGCTCGATCATTCCGAAATCAAACGAAAAAACGGGTGAAAATTTCGAGAGCGAGAAGGACGGAAAAGCATCGTGGAACGATCAACGCGTTATCGGATCGATCCGCAAACGGACGTTGTCTATTGGCTGAAAAGAGGGCTGGATTTTCCGCACAATAGAGGCAGGATGTAAAACGCAATCTCCCTCGTCCTCCGTCTGTTTCTCGCGGGGTCTGGCGGTGGCCACGAAAAATCAGAGCAGCCCAGGCGGAAAGCGAAAGCATTTATACCGGCAACGGGGCCAGCGGTGACGGTGCGCCAGGGGTTTTCGAAGGGGCGGCGAGGTGCGAGGGCAGGGGTTGCTTCCACTCGGGGGTACGGAGGAAATCAGGATAATTGTTAACAATTAGCTTAATCAACCTCGAGAGCAAGCTTTTGTTGGCTGGTTCTGATACGGCCGCTTGGGGTTCTCATGCGTCGCTCGCGCGTATTTTCTTCCAAGAAATAATTCGATCGTTTTGCGCGACGATTGTCATCCCCTCTCCCTCCCTTCCCTTCAGGGATAAAAGGGGATGGTGAAAATTGCGTCGGGACAGTTTTTCGAATGAAAATCACCCATTATCCGCTACCTCATTTCATTTCCTAATCTTTTTAACCAGTTTTATTTTTTTATTTGAGATCTAAATCCAAGGTTTCAACCGATTTACCGATTCTTTTTGTTTTATTCCGGTTTCAGGTCTGGTTTCAAAATCGACGCGCGAAATGGCGTAAGAAGGAAAAAGTGCTCGGAAGGGATACGAATTTCATGCACGTGGAGCAGAGTGGTAAGCTACTAACTAATATTCGTTTTTAGAATCTTCGATTTTCCGATTCAACTGCGAATCACGTGGCCTGTTTGATTAATACGCGAGAAGACGGGGAACTGCAAGGGAAGATGAAATCGACGCCAATTACATTTAATTTCAGTGTCGGGTATCGCGAACTTTGATCGTTTAATTTTTCATCGGATATTCGATCGTCGAGTTCCGTGAAACTCGTTCCATAATTAAATGAACAAGAGGTTTCGAATTTCCTTTCTAAAACCACTTTTTTAAATCGTCCTTTGACGAAACAATAAGATCTTACGTACGCCACGTAACACCACGAAAGATCGAAACCGAAGTATTTATCCAAAAAAGAAAAGAAAAGAAAAAAGTTTTTTTTTCTCTCTCCAAGTTCCATCGAATCGCTGTAAAACAAGGGACGCGGATCTCGATAAAACCGAGACGAGGGAGAGAACATGTCCATGATAGAACAAACACCACGGATCAGAGCCACTCCTCCTTTGATTCCCAACAGCCAATTGATTCTGGACAAACGATGGAAAAGACAAAGACGCAGTTGGATCGCGAAATGCTAATTCTCCCTTCGAAGCAGCAACCCCGTGGCGGGGTTCGAAAAAAAAAAAAGAAAAAAGAAAAAACTTCGAAACAACGAACTAAAAATCGGTGCAAAAACGGTGTGATTGCAGGTGTCAACGAGCTGTCCCTTCACGCCCGCCTGCTCCAAACCGCCGGCGGTGTGCCAGGTGCGGATCCATCGGGAGGACCAGCGGGTGCCTTTCCCTGGTTCATCCCGCCGGTGTTCCCACCGCCGTGGCCGGCCAGCGCGCCAAAGTTGCCCCCGTTGCACGCCATACTCTCGCAGTACATCGGCCTACCCCTTCCGCAGAACCTGGCCTCGCTGAGCACGGTCCTCCCGGTCGGACTCAACCCAGCCTCGACCCTCAACCACAACAACGTGAACGGGCACACGCTAGGGACGCACATACCTGGACACCCGTTGAACCTCGGTGTGCAGAACCTCCCGCAAAATTTGAGCTCGAAGCACGACAAGGAGGAAGACTCGGCCTCGTCCGACGACGAGATCAGGCGGCAGAGCGCGGAGGTGTTGAGAGTGAAGGCGGAGGAGGTTTTACGCAAGGTGGATAACTAACTGTGAAATATATGGAGAATTTATGGATAGCCTGATGTAAATAAACTTGCGGGTATGGTGGTATGGTAGATGAATGTTTTTTTTTCTCTTTTTTTTTTTTCCGAAGATGTCGGTGATTCACGGGATTTAGACGCCGATGCCTTGACTTCGTAGCGAAACAATAGGGAGGTGAAATCATGGATGATGGATAATAAGTGAGTGGAGAGTGGGGGGATACGAAGAACAGGAGAGAATTTGAATTCCCAAGAATTTCGTTCGTGCATTATTTGGATTGTTGTACGAAACGCAACAAACACTAGTCTGTCTGAGATTACTCTACGGATACTTTGAGTTTGGGTTACGAGAAGCGTGTTGTTGAAAACCGCTGGCGGTTTTTCGACGATTTTTAGGTTATCTTTTTCTTTTATTCTAAAATTACACCTTTTATCCTTACATTTTATTATTATTATCATCATTATTATTATTATTAATTTTTTTTTCCTTTCTTGGGTTGAGAATTCATATACACGAATATGTGCGTGAAAAAATGCAATATCGGAGGATTTAACGAATAATGTCGCGGACAATTACGTGGTTTCGAAAATTAAATTAGATTTTTGGTACCTTTCGCCACTCTTAAAGTGATAATCTTAAAGTAATAACGTGGTAATTTCGATTGAAAAACACAAGATTGTTCGCGATATTTTCTCGACTCGTGTCGACGAATGTGGTAATCGTAACGAATGTCTCAACACTGGACACTGGAAAATTTTTTTTAGAGAATCCGATTTTATAGAAACCAGCAACAACAAGAAGGAAAACGAACTATTATCGGACGAAGAAGAATTTTTGTAACATACATGTATCATACGCAAACGTGCATATATATATATATATTATATATAGATCACGTATAGTTTCTTTCATGTAAATATGTAGGTAATTAATTATCTCGAGAGAAATATATGACGCTACTAAGATTTATCACACTTGTCATTTATCCGATGAATTCCGTCGTCGAACCGTTCTTCGTCGAACCAACATTCCAAAAATCGATACGTCATCAACCGTAATCAAATAAATCCAGTTTCAATACAAAACGTGATACCAAATTTCTCTTCCATTCCGCCCGATTAGATGCCTCTCCCTTCCCTTCCCTTGCACAACGCAAGGAGCACGGGAATCGCGCGAATAATCGCGCTAATGAACGTGTTTTCGCCAAACCCTATTTCTAACCCTAATTTTCCTCTTGCGAGAGCGCGATTAACCACGGTTAACGCGGTTAACACGCGACGAAATCGCTTCCGCGTCATTAATCACGAAAAGAATTGGTATTCGGGGCAACGTGGCGGCGTCACGACGCCGATTTCCTGAATTCTAGATCGGCAGCTGGGCCTGCTGCGGTCTCCGCCCTCGTATGCGCAAACGGGGCGCTTCGATTCCCACGGACTCTTTTCCCGTAAACATCGGTGCGCCGTTTAATCGCGCCTACCGCGATTATTCCGCTCTCCTCGTCCGCTCGACTCGTCCCTTCCCACGTGCCCCTGGCCCGGCCACACCACCTCGTCCCGTCCTGGCGCATGACACGCACAACGGCAATTACAATCCAACCAATTTATACGGCTTATCAGAAATTTATCTTCGGTAAGGACGAAGCGCGTAGCGACGACACCACCGCGCGACAATTATCGTTATCGTTATTGAACGGAGCTGCGGCGACGCGGAGGGGTGGGACCCGAGGGAAGTAATTATTGCGCCACCTGCCCCGGGACGATCGTCATCGTTGCGACTCGATAAGATCGGGCAGATAATGCCACGAGTTTGCGGGAAATGTTGTGCTTTGTTTCCTGCCCGAGTTTTTCTGTTCTCTGATATTCCAACCTTCTTCCTCCTCCTCTCTTCCCTTTCTCTTCGTGAGAGTTTTTTTTTTTTTTATATTCGTGTTTCCTCCTTTTGCTTTTCAACTTTTCGACGAGTTAGGATCGAGTTTTCCACGCCGATTGATCGAAATCTTGATCGATACGAATTTTATTTATCTTTTGCGGGAGAATCTTTACGACGAGATATTTTTATAGATCTCGTGGAACGACAAACGGTGGATTTTGGAAGGAAATACTTAAGAATAATGGTAGTGAGCCTACACTTGAGATATTTCGCAGACATTTTATATTCGAAACATTAGAAAGAGAGCGTGCTTTGCGTGCTTTCGAAATTCCTCTCCCCTTGCATTTTAGCTCAATGACCGTGTCGCATAATGCTGTAAAGTTCCGCTAAATGGAACCTCTAGAAGGAGAAAGAAACGCTCTGGGTCCACTCTCGCCCCGCTTTCATTCACCGATGTCGATTCGTAAGCGTTTACACCTATACCTATTTCCATGCGATGCACTCAACTATCGATAATCGTCAAGGGTTAAGCTCGGCTACGAGAGATGAAAAATTGCATCGTACAATCGTGGAAAACAATTGTTCGTTTGAAAAATTTTCAAACTACAATATTTTCTTCGGCCACGTTCGAATCGCGGGATATAAAAATGGATGTAAAACGTGGAAACAAAGGGTGGTCGAAAAACTTCATTTTCGAGTGCAATGCACGATGGTCCGCGGTGCTTCGCGATACATTGACGGCGTGAAAAATTGCGAATTGCTCTCAGTCTCAGTACGGACTTGGAATATTCCGAATGTAATGAATTTTTAATAAAACGGTCCATTACAGGAATTTAATAAACGCGTTTATTATTCGTTGGAATTTAATTACCTCATTACAAGTTCACGCGGCGTTTTTCGAAAACTCCGTTCGCACGGAAGGAATCGGTCCGAAAACGAATGGAAAACGTTTGCTCATCTTCTCTTTCCTTTCTTTTTTCTTCTTTCTTCTTCTTCTCTTTTTCCCTCCCTTTTTTTTTTTTTCCCTCCTCGTATAATCATATGTTTTAAGGGGCTGGACTGGAGGGATCAGAGTTGAATACCACTGATCGCGATCGCGACGGCTACGAAGGACAATTAGATTAAAAGCAGCGCCTCTCGCGGCGGCTTGAGATCCATTAGTGCCCATTGTACCACCCCATTTGTACCCCTAACGTACCACCCCCGTGTGCCGTTACTTCAGCCCCTTCCACCTTCTCCCCCTGAGCACAGCCACCATCTCGAAGCCAGGTACTTATTCTCAATAGTAATATGCTCACTTCATACTTCCATCCCCTCCTACCCCCTCTTTTCCCGCCTTCGACACCCACGAACACGTCTACGTTGTCCTTCTCTTCCTCTCTTTCCCTCCGTCCGCACATACGTTTGGTTCCGTTATACCTTCTTTCCCTCCTCTCTCTCTCTCTCTCTCTCTCTCTCACCCTTTCTCTCACTTTCACCATTTCTCCGCTCTTCTTTTTTCGCGTTTTCCATCCCGTTTCCACCGTCTGTTCTTGAGAAGCGGAAAGTGGCACGGTCTGAAAAGATTTCTCCGCTTGTGAAAATCACTAGCTGCGCTGATACCAAGAACATTAATGATACCCTAAATGACATCAATTAGTCCATCTGCCGTGATAAACATCCATCGTCGAGATTACTATCCTCGACTTTCCCCTCTCCCTTCTTTTTTTCTTTCCCGGCAAGACACAATTCGAGAAAACGTTAAGTAACTGATTTTCAAATAATCGCGCTCCTGCTTTCTTTCTTCACGCAAAATCGTGGCGCATGAATGTTAACGGCGATAAACTTTATTCCATCGAGTCGGTTGTTCCCCATCCTCGTCTATTCTATCTCGTTTCGTTATTATCTAATGCTTTTCCCAGAGAATACCGCTTGCATTCAATACTCTCGTCCTAAATTCTCGAAACGACTCGAGTTTTTTCTACTTTGAAAATATCCATTTCTATATACGTTTATATACTTTTTTCTCTCCTTCTTTCATATCCCAAGATTCCCAGAAGGCAACAAAGGAAAGGATATATATATGATCTTGGAACCTCGGTCAAACCATTGAAACCAATCTTTTGGACAAAAAGCAAGAACAAGTGAATGCTTCGTCTCGATGATTTATTTTTAATCGCAATATATATATTCACGTTTTCTTCAACAACTTATAATTCACGAAAAATATATTGTCGTTTGTTCTCTCCTCGAAAGGTGCAACGATTTTTCCTCTCTTTCGTGACGCTTAAATCGTATCCACATTTGCAAGTCATTAGTCGAGTTTCATGCCACTCGAAAACAGGACTATAATATAATGGTGCGCTCACGCTGTACGAAAACGGTGTGCTTACGATGTGCAACGTGAAACCATCGTGATACGATTGCGCAGCTATTGTTTACCGCTTTATCTAGTGGGAAATCATTTTGAAAGATATTACGCTTCATCTCCGCGTATCCCGCCCGCGCCATTTTGTTCCAGAAATTTCTCCAACGGAGTTATTCCTTCGAAACAATTTCTAACGAATATTATCGACGCTATCCGCCATTACCATATATTCATACCATTTCTTATTCCTGTTAAATATTCCGAATTCCCAATGATCGAAATTCGTAGCGACAGATGGAGCACAATCGTACAAAATAACAAAAGCAAACGAGCAAGCGACAAATAATAAAAAAAAAAAAAGGAAAAAAGAAAAGAAGAAAGAGGAAGGAGGAAAAGAAGAGAGAGAGAGAGAGAGAGAGAGAGAGAAAGAGAAAAAAGCAGCCAATTACAGAGAAGTTTCTGGGCAAAGTATTCCTTAAACTTCAATGGAACGTTGGTGGACACCCGCGGCGTAAAAAATTCCGCGCGAAGACGCAGAAACGGGATCCGGCGACGCGGACGGTTTGAGAACCGCTCTCGTTCACACGTTGTGAAGCTGAGTGTACGATTATGCTTAAAAATTAGTGTCGTTGCGTTCTAACTCCATACACACGGTGCGTACACACTTCATTAAGGCCATTAGAAGGCATCTGGGCACAGCAAGGCGACGACCTGCAACCCCCGACGCAGATCTCTTTCGCCTTTTCAACCCCTCCAAGGGTGACCGACAATAATGGCTTTTACGCCGATA